GGGCTCCGTCATTACGAGAAAAGTTGAACCTGCGTGAATTAAAGTATCACAAGAAGATGAGTCATCGTCACCCTTTACAAAAATAGGTTGGTGATGTTTTACTGTACTCTTGGAGAGTATACACTATTAGCAGCTTGTAGTAGCCACCAGTGAGGGAACTTGACTATTCTGGAAGTTACAGTCCTCTTAATCCAATGAAATAGAGGCGGTTTTGTGAATTACTAATCTCGTTTTGGTGGCAAAATTTCCATATGTCGCTAGTGTCTGAGAACAATCATGCCCTGAGACGCTACGGCTGCCGCTTTATGCGTGCGCAGCAGCAGCCACAGCGAGCGCCTGGCGCCTGCGACAGCGCCTGCGAGCGCATCTTTCTCCTGTTAGAGAGCCAATCGGAGCCTTGGCCGGGCCGACGTACGTGCATCAGCAGCCAAATGAACTACTGTGTTTAGGGCATCATTCACGGTGGAAATAGCTCTTAATCCTAGTCTTCGCCGTGCTGACGGATGGCGCCGCTATCAGTGACCGCCGCAGTGGCCGCCGCGCGCCAAACGAGCTTATCTAAGCTCGCACCCCGCCCCCGCGCCAAAGGAGCTTACTTCAGAGCTGACTAAGCGCTTTTGTGCCATACGCGCCCTTTCTAGCCGCACCCTATATCTAGATGAGGACGACCGCAACTAGCGCCACTATACCCTATCCAATATCGCCATGGGCGCCGCCGAGCCTGAACTAGGCGCCGACGAGTACGTGCCCCAGCGACGCCTCCTCCTGTGGGCGTTCCGCAACAAGCCCGTGCCCATCCCCGACGACAGCGACCGCAAACCGTTCCCCTACCAGACGCTGTGGTGGCCGTCCAAGCTCACCTTCTGGTGGATGGTGCCGATCATGAACGTCGGCTACCGGCGCACCATCACCCTGCGCGACTTGTACAAGTTGACGCCGCCGATGACCGTCGAGGCGTACGGCGCCCGCTTCCAGGCGCTCTGGGAGCGCCACTTGCCACAATGGCGCCAAAAATGGGAGCAAGAACACCCCGATAACTCGACGTTTGTCGTCAACAAATGGCAGGTCTGTCTCGTGCTTATTGAGACGTTTAAACGCGAGCTCTTTTGGGCGCTTTTCAACTTGTTTATCGCGTTTCTGGCGATGCTGGTGTCCCCCTTAGTGCTGAAGCAGCTCATCGAATTCGTCCTGAAAAAGGCGTACGGGCTCAGCGCCCTGCTGGGCGAGGGCGTCGGCTACGCCGTGTGTCTGTTTGCTTTACTTCTAATCACGGCGTTCACGTTTGACCAGTATTTCTTCCGGGCGATGAACGTCGGCACTAAGTGCAAGTCCGTTTTAACCCAGGCGATCTTGGAGAAGCTGATGCGCTTGTCGCCACACTCAAAGCACCGCTTCAGCGACGCCAAGATGACGCTGTTGATGCTGACGGACTTGCTGCGGATCGAATTCGGGTGGATGTTTGTCCCCATGGGGACGATGATGCCCATCCCCATTGGTGTCTCCATTGTCATTTTAGTCATCAATATTGGTGGCTCCCTGATGGTGGGGATCGCCGTGTTTTTGGTGTTGCTCATAGTGTGCGGGGTGCCGATGGCGCAGTTGATTAAGCTCCGGGCGCAGGGGCTGAAGATCACCGACGAACGAGTGACGTTGACGAAACAGGTGCTTAGCAGTCTCAAGATGATCAAGTTCTACGCCTGGGAAGGCTCGTTTCTCAAAAAACTCGTCGACGTGCGTACGCGGGAAGTCGACGTCGTGTTGAAAATGCAGCGCACCCGTAATATCGTCACCGGGGTGGCGATGACGCTCCCCAGTATCACGCTGATGGTGGCGTTTTTGGTGTTGTACGGGCTCGAGCGCGACACAAGACTGCCTGCCGATATGTTCTCGCTGGTTTCGTCGTTTGAAATCATTACATTGTTTGTGTTTTTCATCCCCGTGATCATGCTGACGTTTACCGATATGCTTGCCGGCTACCAGCGGATCGGGGCGCTTTTCGCTGCCGAAGATATCGACCCGTATCCAGGCTACCATGTGATCGAAGACAAGGAGCTGGCGGTGGCGATTGAGCTTACTGACGCCCTGTTCAAGTGGGAAGAGTTTGACCCGGAAGAAGCCGAGGACGAAGAGGAAAATAAGAAAAAGGAAAAGGCGAAGAAGAAACAGGACAAGAAGCACTGGTGGCAGCGCAAGCACCAGAACTCGGAGAAAGAAGCCGAAGATACCTCTTCTTCTTCTGATGACGTTAAGGAGAAGACTCCCGGTACCACATTCCCGGGCCTCCGCGATATCAATCTCACCGTATCTAAGGGAGAGTTCATCATCATTGCCGGTGCCATCGGCCTGGGTAAAACCTCGCTTCTCGACGCTATTTCTGGTCACATGACCGCCACCGGCGGTACAATCACCATCAACGGCAACCTCCTCTTCTGCGGCCAGCCGTGGGCCCAGAACGCCACCATCCGCGAGAATATCATATTTGGCCTCCCCTTCGACCGCACGTGGTACGACCAAGTGATCTACGCCTGTCTGCTTCAAGCCGACCTTGCCATTTTACCCGGGGGCGATTTAACCGAAGTTGGCGAGCGTGGTATCACTCTTTCCGGTGGCCAGAAGGCGCGGTTGAACTTGGCACGTCTGATCTACGCTAACCCTGAGATCTTGTTGATGGACGACGTGCTTCTGGCCGTCGACGCTCGTGTCGGACGCCACATTGTTGACCAGTGCTTTATGGGCCTTATGAAGGATAAGACGCGTGTGCTCGCAACCCACCAGTTAGGGCTCATCTCTGCTGCTGACCGAGTCATTTTCCTTAACGGTGACGGCACCATTGATGTCGGAACCGAGCTGGAGCTTAAACAGCGTAATTCCGGGTTCGAAAAGCTCTACGCTCACGTGCTGTTACCCGACGAACTTGACGACGACGACGACGACCCCGCTGATCCTGCTCTCACAGCACCTAAACCTCCTAAGGGTGATACCGTCATCGAGCTGATCCTGGTCCCGGGCTCTGAATCGGACTACATCGACGTCTACGCCGGTAAGGACGCTGCCAAGGGGAAAATCATCGAACGTGAAGAAGTGGCCGTTAACCAGATTTCGCTAGATGTTTACTACCAGTACATCAAGCACGGTGCCGGCAAATTGACGGTGGTGGGGTGGTTCATCTGCTTCGCCACCACGCTTGCTCTTGCCACTTTTTGCGAGATCTTTACCAATACGTGGTTGCTGTTCTGGGTGCTGAAAAAGTGGCCTGAGCGCCTGGACGGGTTCTACATCGGGTTGTATGTCATGTTCAACATCTTGTACGTGATCTTCTTGATTGCGGCGTTCATGTTGCTCGTGCGGCTCGTGGTGATTGCCCTGCGTCGCCTCCACTTGAAGGCGTTGGAACGAGTAATTCATACCCCGATGGCCTACATCGACGTCACTCCCCTCGGGCGAATGATCAACCGGTTCACTAAGGATACCGACGCTTTGGATAACGAGATTTCAGAAAACTTGCGTATGCTTGCCCTCCAGTTTGCCCGCCTCATCGGTGTCGTGGTGTTGTGCATTGTCTACATCCCCTGGGTGGCGCTTGTGGTGCCGGCAGCTTTGATTGTGCTTGTGTGTGCCTGCAATTACTACCTTGCCACTCTCCGCGAAGTCAAGCGACTCGAGGCGTTGCTGCGGCTGTTTGTCTACAGCAACTTCACCGAGGTGCTCTCCGGGCTGGCGACGATCGCTAACTACCGCCACCAGGAGCGGTTCAAAGACATGAACCGCAAATTCATCAACGACATGAACGAGGCGACTTTCTTGGTCATTGGCGGCCAGCGGTGGATCGAGACCTTACTCAATATCTTTGGTGCCCTTGTGCTGTTCTTAGTGGCGATGCTTTGTGTGTTCCGTGTGTTCAAAGTCAGCGCAGCCCTGGCAGGGTTGTTGTTGACCTACTCGCAAAACTTGCTGCGGATGTTGCTGGACGTGACTCGGTTGTACGCCCAGGTGGAAAACGAGTTTAATCTGGCCGAACGGATTGAGTACTACGCTCTCCACCTCGACCAAGAAAAAGCTCAGCACTTGCCGGAAGACCCTCCCGTTGAAGAGTGGCCCACTCACGGCGCCATCGATTTCGCTCAAGTAGGGTTGCGCTATCGTCCTAACTTGCCCAGAGTCCTCAACGATTTGACTATCTCAGTTAAAGGAGGTGAAAAAGTTGGTATCTGTGGCCGTACCGGGGCAGGCAAGTCGTCGATCATGGCGGCGTTGTACCGGCTCGTCGGACTTGAGCTGGGCACCATCAGCATCGATGGCTTGGACATCTCGCTGGTGGGGCTCCACACTTTGCGCCTGCGGCTTCTGATTATTCCCCAGGACCCCGTGCTCTTTGAAGGCACCATCCGGCACAACTTAGACCCGTTTGACGAGATCGACGACGACACCATGTGGCAGGCGTTGCGCAGGGCGCACTTGGTCACCGCTGACGACATTGCTGAAGCTACTGGGCCCCACGCGTCTCGCGGGGACGACTACGAGCGCCCCAAGTTCCACTTGGACGCTACCGTCGAGGAAGACGGGGCCAACTTCTCGCTTGGTGAGCGTCAGCTCTTAGCGTTTGCCCGTGCCCTCATCCGTAACACCAAGGTTTTGATCATGGACGAGGCGACGTCGCTGGTTGACTACGACACCGACCACAAAACCCAGCAGACCATCCGCACCGAATTTGCCGACTGCACCATCTTGTGCATTGCTCACCGGCTCAAGACGGTGCTTGAGTATGACCGCATTTTGGTGATGGACCGGGGGCAGGTGGCCGAGTTTGACACCCCGCTTAACTTGTTCGAACGCGGCGGCATCTTCCGAGAAATGTGCGACCAGGCCAAGATCAATCGGAGTGACTTCGATCATAAGTACGTGTAAATAGACATGAATGACGACGATTAAGTAAAGACTATCTGTAAGTCGATTGGGGCTATAACATCTTGGTTTTGCATTTTCTATATTCTCCCAGATTCCACCCACCTCTGAAGGCAGCACACCGACTAGGCACCGCTTCCGTAGCCATCCTCCAATGATGTCTTCCGCGCTCCTCGTCAAAATTTCAAATTTGTTTTTAAAGTTTTTTTTTTTTTTTTCAAGACAAGCACTGCTCATGGATGTGCAACAAAGTTGCCACTACAATTGAAGAAGTAAGATTGTACGGCATGTAGCTCGATGATGATTACATTATCTTGAAACATTCTCTGATAGCTGAATAGTAGTATCTTGCAGTCTTACCGAATTGAAAACAGTTTTACGACTAGCCATGATCTCTTATGTATTTTGTAAACCACTTGCGAGAAAGATAATAAGTCTCACCTTGGTACAGGACAATTCCCACCTGATGATGGTACGCAGGCATTTAGTCCAGATACCGATTCTGAATTGAGATTGCACTTTTGGTGATAACGTTTAAGATGGATGAAACATGAAGTGTCAAGGGTTTCGAGTTGACTGTGCAGCTTTGCCAGCTGAGCCGGTTACATCCTGCATATATTAACACGCGCCACTCGTCTAAGATTTCGTTCTTAATTTTTTGTTCCTGCATACTGCGCCGCTCGTCAAAAAAATTATTTCAAATTTTTATTTCAAGTTTTTTTTCCAAATTTTTTTTTTCTCTCCAGAGATCTTCTGATTGCTATTATACATATATTTGAGCTGTGCCGTTCATAGATTTGGATTCGGAACTCACTTAATCTGTTCTGTTGATAGCAAAAGATCGATTTGAGGATTCCTTCACTACATGCAGGATTCATTTGAGAACGCTCTTAAAAGCGTAGTAAGTATGCCACTTTCCCAGTTGAGTCCAAAGAAGTCTCGCAGCTAATAGTATAGCTTATTAAAGTTATAGTAGTGGTAACATTTTAGATCTCCTCAAGATATACAATTAGTGCCATGAGTATTATGAGTACTGCATACAGGTAGGGAAAGTAGGGTGCCATAGTTGAAACTACGTCAAATCGAACGTTAACTTGCCCAGATATTTATCTACTATATTTCTGGCGTCAAATAATATTATGTAGCTGATTAGAAGTGTGTACCAATGTTTCCTGATTTTATATCACATTTTGAAGATTTTCTTGAAGAAATTCAGAAAAATCCCATTTGCTGTTATAAGTAGTATTTGCACCGTATAAATCACAGTGGTGTAATTTGTTTTGGTTTCGGATTCAATATAGGTGAAAAAAAAGATCGTGGAAAAATCATGAATGATATGCACATGCAGTGCTTGTGTGCAGAACCCCAAACTTGAAAGTGTGATATAAGAGTCAGCAACTGTGGTAGAACCTACCTAAACACTTCAAACCATATAGACATGTTCCCATATTACAACGATGGCTGTTAAAATAGGCTAGCCATCCTGTAAGTGCATCGTACAGCTCAACTTGTTTTGTCTCGCATATTGGTTGATGCACCTGCATACAAACATCATAATAGACGAGGTGTTAAACCTATCCTATCACTTCTACAAACATCGCAGGTTAATTCCAATGCTTATTGGATGTAACAGACTACGCCACAACCTCGAAGTCGTCCGAAAAAAAATCTGCAGAAAAAAAAAGTTTTTTTGTCGACCTGTAAACTCACATGGAGACGCCAATTTTGATGTCAACTCACCCAAATTCACAGCAACTATACTTCCAATGCCAACATTAATTATTAAGTAAACGGATTAATTTTCTCGACTTTTCCTGATTTTATATCACTATTTCAAATATTTTTGGAGAATATACAAAAACTTCAAACGATTCTCAATTGTGGTGTTCTGTACTATTTGAATACTAAAAATTACAGTGGTGTTGTTTGTTTCTCTCTAAGGCGTCATTTACCTCACGGAAGAACTTTGGTAGAGTTCTTCATAGTGCATGCACATAAAACTTTTGTGTGCAGGCTTAAAGGTTGCAGGCTTCATATGTATGTCAAGAATGGTGTTAGCTCTCAGAAAACCTGTCAAACCAAACAGACAAGCTTACAGACTACAATGGTGCTGAGAACAACGAGCCGAAAACCTCAGATGATCCCAAACTCGCAACTCTCTCGCACGATGCACCCGCAAATAAACCTAGACGAAGTGTTACACCTCTCTTTTCGCTTCTGCAATCATCACAGGTCAGTTTCAATACTCACTAAATGAAACAAACGACGCCATGAACTCAGGACAGTCAGTAAGAATTTCGCAAAAAAAAAAAAAGAATAAGTTTTTTTTTTCTATACGTCAATCTTATGTAAATTCTTTTAGATACCGATTTTTACGTTGACTTGCTTAAACTTTTACCAGTCTAACTTCAGGTGATGAACAATAATATGCGGGAAGATTTTGTTGAAACCAGGCGAAAATGTAGTTGCTCTTTGTAAAAGGTTTTGGTCTCAACCACGTCAGCTCAACTTGGAGATGCTACCTGTTCTCAAATAGGAAATCTAACCGCGGGATTATGAGAGGTTCACGTGACCGCATCGTCCACTTGAAGATTGTGAGCCGTTAACTTTGACCGTGCCATGAACTCTTTGCTTAAATGTAATCCCCTTTGAGTTGTACTAGACATCATAGTCAAGTGTCGCAGCTAGCTTTGTCATTGCAAAGATTCTCCAGCTGGTTCGACAGAGGAATGCGGGGAACGCTCTGCGCCGTCAACCTTAGACGGGACAAGTCGGAACAAAGAACGCACCCAACTTTAGGGGGGCGCTATATCCAGGAAATCCTTGCCTGAGCGATATAAGAAGGCGGCTGCTCGCTCTTCTTTTGCATCATCTAAATTTCCTGGCGACCTCCTCTATGAGCTGAAACCCACTCTGGTCTGCCATCAACCGGGACTGTGACCTACATACATGGTACCCGATACTGACTAACGCTTCTGCTGACGCTACTATTTGCTGATGCTAGTGCATGCTGCTAATGCTACTACTTGTTGCTCGCTGTGTGCTGATTTGCTGATATTATTGTGTCGCCTCCAGCCACCAAAAACTTTGAAGGATTGGCGGCTGAGCCGACTGCTCGCTGGACTTGACTCGTGTTCTGTCACGCTGCAACCAGTAACACTCCATGACCATCCCGTAGGCGGGGGAGATAGTGCACCTTCATACACATCCCCTATGGGCGGTAGGCAAGACTTCCCGTCTGATTGTATCCGCAACGACAGCTTAGCCCTGGTCGGCCAGCAAGCGTATGCTAGTAGCGTATGCTTGGACCTCGCGCGAAAACTGATGGCACTCCATCGACTGTCACTGGCCATGTTTGGACTGGTAAGGGGGGTTGATGGGTCTCCCTTCCCAGGAATTTTGTAGGTTCGGAGTCTGGGTTGTAGCATGTATGAATACTTGTGTAGGTTCATAGCTATGATAGTCATATAATTTACAATATAATTGATTAATTTGAACGCTAACATTTGTAAACTTCTCTGGAAGGGAACTGTTTTCGAAGCCATTGAGAAGCAGAGTCTACTTGAATAGACACGCTAGCAACTTCAATAGCCATAGATCAGGTATGATTCCAACTGGACGTACAGAAGAAGCTTTTACCGCCTCATGTATTGATGAGACTATAGCCTGTATGAATCTTTGACAAGTATCTAGGCTACAACCCGAAACAAACCCACATCGTCTTTCTACCTTATCATGAGCTTTCAATTGGCCAATGGTGAACGAAGCAGTCGTAGCTTCGCCCGGTACACGAATGACGACTCTCTTCGCCATATGAGTGGTCGCCAACGACAGCCACCTGTCTCCATCGACGCAACCCAGCATGAATTGATATCTAGTGACTAAAGAGTAGCACGTTGAGAGTGAGTCGTCAGTCTTCAGTTTACGGGTAGCGTGTTGAGCAATGTGACTCAATGAGTATGACTCAATCTGATTATATCAATTTAGTTGAAAAAAACTGGATCAATTAGTCAAATCATGACACTGCGTGCCAGATATCTCACCGTATTCAACTTGTAGGAGCAGAATATCTCTGATACACCAAGTGCCCATCGCTGACACCTGCGCCACACGTCAAATCGCTTCAAGAGTATCACCGTGACCACAGCATTATTTTTAAAAAACCAGAACACCTCCCATTTCCCCCATACCTCCTTCCTCTCGGGGATATTTTCCCTTTAGCGTAGCGCCCTGAGTCATCGCGCGGCTCCTCACCGCCTAATTGGCTGCGAACATATATCGGTGTGCTCCCTCCACAAAAACCACACACACCATGCTCCTGGCGTCATTCAAGCACCTGGCGAAACTGCTAGTGGGTCGGCGGATGCTCTCAGTGTCGGCCAAAGCCCTCCAGGCTCACCCCGACGCCACCGCTGACTCCCCCACCGGTCAGTACGTTAACACCATCTCCAAGCCTTATACCGTCACCACCTACGCCCGCCCCAACCTCATGATCACTCACGGCAAGGGCTCGCTTCTCTACGACTTGGAGGACCGCCGCTACATCGATTTCATGCTGGGGATCGCCGTCACTGGCTTGGGCCACTCCAACCCTGAAATCACCAAGATCATCCTGGAACAGGCCGGGACGTTGATGCAGTGCCTGAATTTGTACTACAACATGCCTGCCGGGGAGTTGGCTAACAAGTTAGTCACCCATACTCAATCGCTGGGCGGGATGAAGGACGCTCAGCGTGTATTCCTTTGTAACTCCGGTACCGAAGCTAACGAGGCGGCGCTCAAGTTTGCTCGTAAATATGGCACCCAACAGCTGCCGGAGAAGCACGAGATCATCACCTTTGAAAACTCGTTCCACGGGAGAACCATGGGGGCGTTGTCGGTGACTCCCAACCCCAAGTACCAGAAACCGTTCTCGCCGCTTATCCCAGGTGTCCACGTGGCTAACCCTAACGATATCGAGCTGGTGAAACAAGTGATTCTGAAGGATAAGACCTGTGCCGTGATTATTGAGCCCATCCAGGGTGAAGGTGGTGTTACTCCCATTGCCGAAGAGTTCCTCGTGGAATTGCGCAAATTGTGTGACGAAAACGACGTCATCCTCATCTACGACGAAATTCAGTGTGGTTTGGGCCGCCTGGGTAAGCTTTGGGCTCACTGCTACACTCCTGAAGCCCACCCTGATATTTTGACTATGGCTAAAGCCCTTGGTAATGGGTTCCCCATTGGTGCCGTGATGGTGCTGGAAAAGGTTGAAAAAGCTCTTAGTGTGGGTGACCACGGTACCACTTATGGCGGTAACCCCTTGGCTGCTAAGGTGGGCTCCTATGTAATCGACCAGGTCTCCAACCCTGAATTTCTCGAACAAGTGGTGTACAAGGGCGACAAGTTCGCTCGTGGGTTAGAAGTGATTGCCAAGAAGCACCCCGAGGCCATCATCGCCGTCAAGGGCCGCGGTTTGTTGACTGGGTTGCAATTTGCCGACCTGGTCGACATCTCGCAAATCGTCAACAAGTGCCGCGACCACGGGTTGTTGTTGATCAGTGCCGGGATGAACGTGGTGCGGATTGTGCCGGCGCTTAACATTCCTAATGATTTGATTGACGATGGGTTGGCGATCTTGGAAAAGGTGGTGGACGAAGTGTTGGCCTAAATGTCTGTATATAATCGCGAATGAATGTAATTTGATTAGACAATTGATGAAATAGAATGAATAAAAATAAATTAAATCAAAGTGAAACAATTGGAAAAAGAAATGACACCGACGTGATTCGAACACGCGCATCTTACGATAACAGAAACCCCAACCTCCCAGTTGAGAAGCTATGATAAGCTTGAGTCTGCCGCCTTAGACCACTCGGCCACAGTGCCTTATTTTTCTATGAGGACTTGCGCTCTATGGAGTGATAGGTACCAAATGCCATAAATGCCAAGTTTTGCGCCCAATAGACTTAAATAATTCGCGTGTTAGTTAGAATTTGCCAATCACATAATAATGGTATGATTTTCCGACTGTTTTGGAGAAAGCTGAAGTCGCAATCACTCCAATATGGCAAGCTGACGCTCAGTTACATTAAGCCAAAGGGGTATTCATTTGTATTACAATCTAGTCTAAGGCACTGTCTATAGTGATGGAGTCGTCGCCGTAGCGGTCAACGTACTCATCATCGGTGGACTGCTCATCGTCAACATTGGTATCGTGCTTATTGGGCACCCCCACCACTGCCCACGAAATACTGGTCACTTCCTCCAACCGTTCCAAAATCTCCTTCATCGGCNCGTCAACATTGGTATCGTGCTTATTGGGCACCCCCACCACTGCCCACGAAATACTGGTCACTTCCTCCAACCGTTCCAAAATCTCCTTCATCGGCGAAAACAACCCAAACTGCTTGAACTCACCGTCAAACGAGTGTAGCATCCCCACTACACCGAGCCCTTTCCGCTCGGGGTTCATGTCTTCAAGCTTAGTGAAGATCCACGCCCCGGAGTCGCCGCCTGCGGCAAACGCCAGGTTCGCTTCGTAAGCGTTGACCACAAACTCCAGCGATTGGATCGCCCCGTCAAGCCAGTACACCATACGAATGCCGTTAAGCGTACCCCGGGTATACTTGGTGGTCAGCCCGTACTTGAATACCAGCAAGCCTTCGTGGAGCTCATCGATTTCGTCATCAACGTCGTCAATGGAAAGATCAAGCTTATCGTTGGTACGAGTTAAATTGACAACGGCTCGCACGTATAAGTTTTCAAACATAAGCGCCGGGTCAAACTCGTTAAACGCGATATCATCACCAAGGTAGTTATGGCAGGTGAGCTTCTTATTCACTTTGATGATGGCCAAGTCCAGGAGACGTTTGGGCAGTTTACCCTTATCGTTGGTGGATCCCCGAATAGCGGGGATCAATGTCCGTTCGCCCCAAATAATTTGACCAAACCGGTTACGAGGCAAGTTTCTCGGTGCCTCTGGTTTCTTTGACTTCACTTTCTTCACCGGGAAAAGCTCTTCAAGCTGGTGGAGCGCCAGGCTGTAGGCCACCGCTGCTTCCCGATTAGGCTGGGACCCCGACACCGCTTTCGAGTACTGAGCAGTAAGGGCATTCTTGTACATGCCAATAAGCACCAGTGACGGCAGCAGTACGTGCGCGTAGTCAGTGGGGCTGGTAGCGCTATCACCAGGCTCAAGACACACATGGCCACAAGATATGGCAAACTTACAGTTGGCGTACTGAGCCACGTGAGCTTGCTTGGTCAAGTCAATGATAGGGTATATGTAGCCACCAACAGTACCCAGGGTTCGTGTCAGCGCCTCAGTAGACAACGAGAGTCCCATAGGTGGGGCTTTTGGATCCAGCGGAGTGCGGAAGGGAAGCTTAAACTGCATCGGCTTCGGTTGCAGTTGCGGTTGCGGTTGCAGTCTTATCAGAAGCTTTTCCATCCCCAGCGCCACGTCGATGCCCAGAGAGGCGGCTTCGATGTGGTTTTTCGTCACCACCACGTGGATATCGTCGTACATGTTGCCGATTGACTGGGCCTGTTTGCGGTGGTAGTCCAGCGGCAGCGGGTAGCCGAAATGTAAGCAGAGCACGCGGAATTCAGGCGAAACCCCACGGGAGATAGGAGCAATAAATGCCCCATTTTGCTCTTTAACATTGGTAGGAGTCGTAGCCATACGTCTGACGATTCGTGATAATAACGCTTGGCGAGGGAACAGCGATACCAGATTGCCCACGGCATAGTTTCTCGGTTTAATCAGAAGACCGTTACCCAGTACTTGGAAGCGGTTATCAAGCACCAGACAGAACTCATTGAAGTTCTTCACCAACATGAGCTTAACCAGAAGGAACACATCGTCGGCGAGTAAGTTATCGTAGAAGTTAAGGTAGAGTTTGACGATGCGGCGCACGTGGTTGTTGTTATAACAGTTAACGGGGTTTGACCGGTGAGATGGGGTCTCACTGACGAACTTTTTGAGGCAGTCAACAAAACTGATAGCGGCTTTAGTCAATGTAGCGAGTGCCAGATTAAACTGGTTCATAATCAGGTGGAGATCCTGATCAAGGATACGGAGCCGTTTCTCGACACTTTCCACGGTGGGAGCCTCCAGTGTCTCAGGAATATTCATCACCTGAAGCTGTTGACTAAACCCAGTGGCTGGTTTAGGCTTAGCACTGGCCAGAGACCCGTAACTCAGCGGTTTCGTCAGAAACGTATGAGCACGAGAAAACACATCGTTATGCAGCATCAGCAGCACCAGGCGAGCGGTATTGGAAATACAAGGGTTGAGGTTCAAATTAGCAGCGTCGGTCTCAGTACCAGTGGCAGCAAAGATCGCTGGAAGCGGCGCCAGGTCGCGGGAGTCGGCGGTGCTATTAGTCTGGATAAGCAGGAGGTCGATGCCCATGAACTGCAGCGCGAGCGAGTAGTGCAGGCCGATATTGGGGGAGTCGGTCACCGGCAGCAGGGGCCGCGAAGGCGGGTCGTGGTCCTGAGGCATAGGATGGGTATATGGTTTGATGAAGGGAGCGAAGGAGGGGTTCAGGATGGATGACGCCGCATGGAATCAAAATTCCGGCGCGCCCTGGGGTACAGCGTGCAGGACGTAAGCGTTATCTCTACGCCTGTCCCCGAGTCGCAAACAGGCAGCCGTTCCCGAGTCGCGCAATCATTCCTGCCCCTGGCTGGTTAATAACTGCGTGCCTCCACAATCAATTGAGGTATACTCATCTCTCGCCAATAATGCTGATCACCACCACCGATTTGAAAGGCGCCCTCCCTCTCGTCGCCAGAGGCAAGGTCCGTGACCTCTACCAAGTCGACGACAACACCCTCTTGTTTGTGGCCACCGATCGCATCCTGGCCTACGATATCATCATGACCAACGGCATCCCCAACAAGGGCAAGATCTTGACTCAATTGCTGGAGTTCTGGTTCGATTTCCTCAAGTTTCCCAACCACTTGGTGGCGAAGTCTGACGAGGTGATGCTGAAGCTTCCCGAGTCCGTCCAACCCTTCCGCGACCAGCTTGAAGGCCGCCTGCTTTTGGTCCGCAAATTGAAGCTCGTGCCGTTGGAGGTTATTGTCCGAGGCTACATCACGGGTCTGGCGTGGAACGAGTATCAAAAGCTGGGCACCGTCCACGGCGAAAAGGTCCCCGAGGGGATGCTCAAGTCGCAACCGTTCCCCCACCCTATTTTCACCCCTCTGACTAAAGCTGAGCAAGGCGAACACGATGAGAACATTACTAAGGCCCAGGCAGCGGAGATTGTTGGCCAAAGCTTGTGTGACCGCTTGGAAGCCGCCGCTGTTTACTTATACACTAAGGCCGCGGAAAGAGCCAAGGAAAACGGGATTATCATTGCCGACACCAAGTTTGAGTTTGGTCTCGACGAAAACGACGACTTGGTTTTGGTGGACGAAGTGTTGACTCCGGACTCGCTGAGATTCTGGCTGGGCGCCACCTATGAAATCGGCAAGGACCAGGACTCTTACGACAAGCAATACTTGCGCGACTGGTTGACGGCGCAGGGGCTTAAGAATAAGGAAGACGTGGCCATGACCGAGGAGGTCGCCCAGAAGACTAAAGAGAAGTATGTTGAGGCCTACGAAGCCATCACCGGCTCGAAGTGGCAAGAATAAAAGAGACTACGATGGGTATGGTTGTGCAGTACGTAAAATCTATAAATTAAGGACGTAAATAGTCATGAACGAGAGTAACGAATCCAAAATGATGGTCGTCACGGGTACCCAAAGAACACACTGCTATCGATGTACTGGGGTTTGCCAACAGTGGATCGCTTGCACTTGTGATGGTGTCTTACTCAGCAGACCTCTCGCCATAAGGTTACAAAGTAACGAAGACTTTATAGGAACGGGAGAAGTTCCGTGTGTTTCATCCTCAATGATTAGTTGGTGCTGCTTACTTCTTCGGAATTTCTTCCCCATAAAGAAGAAAGTAGTTCAACTCATCCAATCTATCAATCATTGCTTCCATTTCATCGTTACCCCGTTTGTATGCAGCCGCTTGAGTGACTTCAGCGGGCGAAAGGTCATCAATGGTAGCCGTAGGCGCTTCTTGCTCGAGGGTGTATTTTATATCACCTTCCAATACTTTTTCGGGGCAGACAAACATGTAGAAGTTATAGTCCATAAGCCCGTACTTGCTGTACACACTAGGTGATACAAGAACCTGGAAGGGCTTAAAGTCATTTCTGTTGACCAAAAGCTCGGCTTCAAAGTTTTCCGTAGGATGGAACCCCACTCTGATTTCCATCCCTTCATTCTTGGTCTCGATGAAGTAGTCCAATAACTGTTCAGCCCTGCGAATGAGCCAGTCGTTGACGTGGGGCGTAAGATGCGCGAGAATCGCAACCACTGCACCTAGATCACATCTCACCGACTTCAGGAGAGCCATCATGTCAGCAATGAGGCGTGAGTAGTACTTTTTTTTCGTCGCCAACGCCGGGCCCGTCACCACATTTTTCGACTGGACGGTGTACCACTCCAGTTCAAATAACGGATCAATCGGACCCTTGGAAGTCTTATTGGGTCTCCGTCGGTATTTTTGCACAAGTCGTTCGGTGAAAGCTACCCGGGTTTGAGTCACTTTACCCAGCTTAGCATCGTAGTTGATTTCGTTCCCCATCATCGACAGAGGGGTACCCAAGTTGTGTACGTTATTCTTGTGCTTCTCCTCAAACTTGGAGGCGATCCACTTGACATCGGCATCGGTTCTGCCGCACAAAAGGATGTCATCATCGGCAATCATCACAATCACCTTCATCCTCCCCTCCGACGCGAGCACCCAGATGCCCTTATCGCTCTTAAACAGTTTGAACCCTAACTCGGTTAAAAAGCTATCGAAGTGTTCGTAGAAGAGTTTTTCGGAATGTTTGGCCCCCACCACCACGTATGGATACGGACGCACCACCAACCCGTCATGATCGGGGGTTTTGGCTAGCAGCCCCACTGTATAACGAACGTACACCTGCTCATCCTCGGGAAGCTCAATATGGATGTCACTGAGATTGATGTCGTACTGTTGTATGCTGTACTTGTTGCCAATGGCATGAGACAACACCATTCTGAGCAGCTGTTGCGACGGTCTGTATAGCCTTGACTTCGGCACTGGCGTCGACGTCGAACTGAAAACTTTGTAGTATGGTTCCTTGTCTCCGTTGGGCTTAACACGGTACTTGGTGCGGAAATTCCATTGAAGCTTGTGGATGATCCTCGAGGAGTCGTACTCCGACTCCTCCTGCGTGTACGGTTCGTAGACTTTAGGCGTGCCCGTTTTTGCCTTTTCCGCCGCAAACTCTTTCGTTTCAAGCTTCTTGAGTTCCTTTTGCGTCGCTTGCAATTTAGTGACAATATCGGGGTTGTACTCCACTTTGAGCGACTCGCAATAGAACCTAGCTGTCATCCCCGGAGCGTCCAACTTAGAGTGGATGGTGGCCAAACGATTATACGACTTGGCAAGGATTTTGGCATCGGCGTTTAACTCGCGGCCTTTCTCTACCGCTTGGTAGCTGGAGTAGAGAGCAGCCTGTAAGTCACCCTTTTCGATCTCGGCCGCCAGGCGGTTGTTCAAATAGGTGGGGTCCTTATAGGTGTCCCAGGCCAGCTTGTAGAGACTGATGGCTTCATCAAAATTGCGCTGTTTATACAATTGGTTACCCCGTTCCTTCAATTTGTCGGCCTCTGCCTTTGACGATCCTGCTCCGGATTTTGAGTTGACGGACGTCTGCTTGCCGTTCATCGTCAATTGATCAAGCACTCACACTGTGGTAACCCCACTAGTCGATCTAGGGAGAAATCGATGCTCTTTCTTAGGCGCAGGTACGCGATACCGCGCTACCATACTACTATCAATGACATCTAGAAAATTGAATAATTTGTAGGTATTCGATAACTATACAGTTGCTAATTAATGTTCACAGATTTTGTCGATAAACGCCAAAGGGGCGTGCCTGTCCGTCCATCATGAGACAGCCAGCAACCTCGCAATCCTCAACATTCTCGAGGACCTCGCCAGTGTGGATGAAGTGATCGAGCTTCTTTAAGTGTTTGAAGTCTTCTTTGGCCGTCAGTAGCGCTTGCTCTTGAAGTGTAAGCAAGTCAAGTTCGTGCTGGTAGACTACTTTCGACCACCAATCCAAAACACCGCCGTCCTTTCTGGCAAAGTAGCTGATAGTGGCTTTCTGTCGATCTTCATCGCTCACCTGGATGACAAGACCCGTAGTAAACTCGTCATCGGCAGTGGATTCACCCTTATACTTCCATCCAATGTTGTAATTTGCCGTGAACTTGATTGCTCTCTGGATAGCGGCGATGAGCCAGTCATTGACATACAGCTCGAGACTGGCGAAAGTCGACACTTCCTTGGCGATCCCTGATCTCACCGATTTCGAAAGTGCCACCAATTCAGCGAGGATTTGTTGGTAGATGATAGTCTTAAGTCCCTTTTCTGCTCGAGGCAATCTCTGTCTCGAACCGACTTCGCGCCATTGTGTATCGAAATCGCTATCCATGATTGACAGGATGCTCCGGTCGGGTCTTAATCCAATTTTATCAAGGAAGTGGACCGTGCGGTTACCGCGATCCATCGTCACAGTTCCTTGTTCGAGATTATAGTTGATGTTGTTGCCGACAAAAAGCAGAGGGTACCCGAGGTGCGCCACTTTGTACTGGCTCTCGAACTCAGATACAATCCAATCAACGTCCTCGTCGGTCTCACCAAAAATCAAAATGTCGTCGCCCTCGATCATCACAATAACCTTAGTCTTCTGTTTGGGAGCGTATACCCATACCCCTTTGGCGCCACTGAACTCTTTGAAGTTTAACTTGTTGACGAGAAACATGGTGAAGCCGCCGTAAAACAATTTCTGAGCACCTTTGATCCCCGGTAAAGGCCGCTTGAGCTTGTGCATGGTAAAAGTAGTTCGGGTGTTGTCAATCCCATACTTAGGGTCGTCGATAAAATACTGGACGTTTTCATCGACAAAGTCGACGTCGGTAAAAGCTAAATCAATGTCAAGCTGGCACGCCTTGAACTTGTTCTTGATGGCGTACGCCAACACCAGGCGCACCAGTTTCTGCGACGGATTGTACTTGCGTGACGGGGCCTCTTTCTTCGCCGCTTGTAAACTGGTACGGCGGTACTCCTCTCGGGTACCGTCGGCACGTTGCTTGTGTTTGACAATGACATACCACATAGTGTCGATGAACACCTCCCTTATCTCGGGGTTAGGCGTGGAGTCATCTCTCGGAGACGCCACATTGGCGGTCGAAGGTAAGTTTGCAGCGTCAACGGGGGGCTGTTCGTCATTATTTGTAGCTTGGGCAGTTCTTTGGTTGCCTGTTAGACTTGTGGTTTGGCTGCTGTGGCTGGTATTGTGGCTGGTATTTTGGTTGGTGGTTGTAGTAGTGGATTGGTTGGCAGTTGCAGACATAGCTTCAGTTGGTGGTGGGGATTGTGATTTCCTCTTCTTGGAAGCCAGCTTCTTTGTGGTGGTATTGTTGTGGTTCGCCGGTATCAGGGAAGATGAACCCTCAGTTGGCTCGGGAGATCTGGACTGGGCACGGAGATTGCGTCCATCATCGTCGACGTTTAATTGATCAAGCTTTTTGAGCTGCTTCAGAATTTGCTCCAGGACCGACATTGATGTTTGTAATTGTTTCTGGTGGCGTGTGGTGGAGAATTAAACAATCAAGGGGGGTCAACTTCGGAGGAATTCGGGGTCGCACACAAACACCGTCCCAGAAGGTTCTGGAACGTGGCACAACAATCCGGTATAAAATGGGTAAAACCGGAAAAGTTATGGACTTTTTGTCATAAAATTCTATCAAATTGAAACAGCTGCACCCAATTACCTTGGGTTTTCTTGATAGTCTTCATTTGACCTCGTGCACAATTATTTATACTATTGAGAGACAATAATGGATTCTATATCTGAGCCCCAACAGTTTTCAGTGTCTTGGTGGCTTATTTAAATCACGATGGTCATGTAAATTATATTTTACCTTTTACATCTTCAGGTTGGATAGTCAACCATCCCCAGTTAAATCAACTTTGTCAGAATTGACCTGCATATGCGTTGGTGTCAAAAGTATGGATTTCATACACAATAACATGCACCTTACCAAGGAAGTTGGACACAAATGATAATTTCCACTTATGCTGATTGATCTATCAGCCTCGTAAAACAGTTCAATCACGCAGAAATGATTTTAAACGTTTTGGGTTTCATTTATGAGTACATCAAACAACTCTACCAAACCACGTCGTGGCCAATTCACTCGTATTTCTAACACTAGATCGAACAATTGATCGCGTCTCCCGAAATTAAACTAGTGCGCCATGGGCACGGCTTATTTGCACTCGTCGTTTGGGGAGGACTATATTGACAAGTATTTCCTATTGATATTTTCCCTGCATCGTCCTTCTGAACCAGAATTGATTGTTTATATGAATGCTATTTATGAAGAGTGTCGTGTGGCTGACCAGTGACTTACATTGAAATCAAATAAGCGGCGGATTCGTTGGTTCGAGTTTTGCAAATGTCTTGACAGTATCACTTTTCCCCATCGTCGTCGGTGGTCACCGGCGTTTGACCAGTTAGGAGAAAATTGTCCATCACGTACAATGTGTCATACTTTGTTTCGAGAAGCTCTTGAGCGTGCGTCTTGGTCCACTCTAAATCAAGATTCTGAACCACCCCCGTTTGCCAACTAACAGGCCCATGCTTGAAAATGAAAATAGTGTATGTCAGCCTCCCATTAAAGCCATTACAATTGGTATTAGCATAGCCAACAAAGCGCCTCTCCGTGTCGGCTCTGCGTCGAAACGTCAACTTGTTCGTCCTGGTATTGACGAGATATTGAAACACCCTATAGGCAGTCTTGATGAGGAAGTCGTTGGCGTAGTCACGAAGGCCGAGAAGCTTGGTTAATGGGGATGCGATATCGAATCTTGTCAGCAAATAGATCAGTTTCAAATCTTCCGTGAGCTGTTCGAATTGAGCTTTCTTTCGCGTATAAGCAGGGCCGAGTAGTTCTTGTTTCGACCCAATCTCTTGCCATTGCGTATCAAAGTCTTCGGCCATGGCTGTCGTCACTGAAGGATCAAATTCAATCGAATACTTCTTAGCAAGGCATTCAATTATCAGCTGGCAGTCCAACTCGATAGTCCTCTGGTCAAAGTCGAATTTTATCCGGCATCCAGCGAACTCCAGAGGAACCCCTAACTCCTCCACGATGTAGTCAGCTTTGAACTTAGAGGTAATCCACTTGACGTCAGCCTCAGTTTTACCACAGATGATGATATCATCGCCGCTCAACATCACGATGACTTTCATTGAGTTTTCAGGAGCATACACCCATACGCCATTGACATCGTGCAACTGACTAAACTTCAACTTTTTCACGAGGTAGTCGCGGATATCGTTGTACCAAAGTTCATTCGCGTACTTGACGCCGTGTATCGGTTTGACAAGCCGATTGATTATCGGTTCGCCGTCTTCCCACAACTCACCCCCCATATGCGCCACATGATGGACGTATACATCGTAGTCTTCCGGGAGCTCTACTTCGATGCGATGGAGGGCAATGTCAAGCTGGCACACACTGTATTGATGAGCTGCAGCGTGGGCAAGCACTAACCGAATCACTTCCATGGGAGGAGTGTAGCTCTTACCCCGAGGCACTGGCTTTCGTGCTACGGGGAACACTCTTGTGAACAATTCCTCGTCGCCATTACGTTTTATCTTCTTCTTGGTGACGAAATCCCAATCGACGTGGGTGGTCTTCTCTAGTTTCTCCTTACTGCGAGGATTTTCTTCAGAGATCGCCGACCAGTGCCACTCGCCACTAAGGAAAAACAGCTCCTCAAAAAATGCCTCGTTGTAGTTGAAACCGGGAGCAACGTCGCCCGGCTTCAACGACTTGAGCTTCTTGTGCATAGGTGATTCCGGCGGGGGCTGCCTGTGGCAGGTGGCTAGCCGCCCCAGCCTGTACATGACGTCATCGTCAAATTCGGGTCCCTCCATGTCTTCCATCGTCACCCCCATCTGCTGCATCATCTGGAGAAGCAGCATGAAATTGGCTTCCATACTAGACATTTTGGCTCGGGATACTGATCACGGTGATCTGGAGATGGCGATAGGGTCGCATTCACGTGAGCCATTTCCATCTATAGTAGTTGAGGAAGGAGTCCCTTTTTGTGTCAGTACAATAGGAAATTGATACTTGATTTGTTGAAGCTAGTGAACTGTAGTCTGGAAAGTAACTTTAAAGCTCGATTTCGGTGAAAATCTCCATCTGTCTCACCAAGTAATTCTCATTAAAGTGGACGCGTTTGTCGGGACGCGTTTGTGTCACAATTTAAGACACCCCCTGTTGTAGGAGATCCTGCACACAGCTCCGACCCTTCGGTTTCCCTTTACCAACTAGCCGACGACTAGGGGGCTTCGAGAGAGGTTGTTCTCTCTTGAGCCCTGGCTCGCGTGACCCGTCTCTCTCTCTCTAGTATATAATCTCCCCCAGATCCAGTGGTAGAGAGGATCCGAACTTAGTCAGTTCAACTCTACGTCGCTGGTCACGAGGGACTATTAGCTAACGTCACTCAATTGACAGATCCTAACTAAGACTGCCCCCTTTTCCTACCACAGTATGTCTATTATTATCTAGAAGCAAAATAAAGATTAGTTTGGCGTTACTCACGCACTTGAATGACGACTTTACCCGAGGCCGCCCCCAGCAGAAGCTTCTCGACCGCCTGCGGGGTTTCCTGGAATTTGTAGGTCGAGTCCACGAACACTTGGAGCTCGCCTTGTTCGTATAATGAGGTGGCCACATTAAGCCAGTTGCCGGGCTTAAGGAGGAAGAAGCGGTAGTTATAGGGCACGAGACCAAGCTTCAGCCCAATCTGGCGGAATACCGTCTTGCGGAACGGCCACGCCAACCCAGCAAGATGGTCCTTGGCGTAGTTGATGTGATGGTCACCAACGATGGTGACAAAGTCGTTTTTCTTAGGGTCAACAATGTCCTTCATGTCACCGAACAATTCACAGTTGCCAGCACAGTCGTAAATGTAGTTGAACTTGCCCTCCTTAGTAGCCTCAAGCACCGGAGTTAACAAGTTAGGGTGCTGGTTGTAGTCAAGCTGCTTGGTGGAGCCCAACAGTCGGACTAATTCGTTAGACCGAGCCCCATTGGAGGTGATGATCTCTCGAGCTCCCTTGATTCGGGCAAGCTGGATGACGTAACGACCCACTGACGTAGCCCCACCAAGCACCAACACTTTAGCCCCCTTGAGATCGTGGTCGGCCATCATTTGGTTGGCAGTACCAAACACCAACGGCACCGCGGCGGCTTCGTCCTTAGACATCCCCTTGGGGATCTTGGCAATACTGCAGTCACGCCCCATGGGCTTGATCTTGATGTACTCAGCGATAGTCCCTTTTTGGAAGAAATGACGGTATAAGCCAAACACCTCGTCACCCACTTTCAACCCGGTGTGAGAAGCGGCGGTGGCGCCAATGGACTCGATGGTTCCCGAATAATCACGACCAATGCCTTGTTTTGAGTTGAACCATGAAGAAATGTAATAGGCCAGATAATATACGAGGAGGTCGATGGGGTTCAATGCGGCTGAACTCACCCTGATGAGAATTTCGTCAGAGTCCACTGGAGTCAACTCCGCCGTGGTCTCGTGGACAGGATCCTTATTGTAGGCGTAAGTGTATTGTTTGTATGTGGGCATCGTTGGTCACTGGCATTTACCACGAAGGTAAGGCTAGTATATATAGTTTGCCATTATAGCTATGGGATGAACTCGCACATTTCTGTATTCAGCGAAAATGTTTAGTCTGCTGTCGGAGTATTTCCCAATAGGTGTATACCCCGAATCACGTGCAGTGTCTTCTATTAAACTTTCGCCCCCAAATGTGGGGCCGCGACCGCATCCTCGGCGACCACCTGTATATACTCATCTCCGAAAAAAAGAAAAATACCCGAGTCGAGACCACCTCCCATAGACATAATATGTCATCGCTATTTGTCAAGCAAAAAGTGATGGGGTGTATCAGATTTAACCACGTCAAATTGTAGTTTCGGGTATCTTACTGGATCACGAATACTTGACGGCTGAGAATCTTTAATTTGTGTCTAACAGTTCCTTCCCTATTGCCGTTCAGTAATTGTAACGGCTCATTAAACCGAAATTGTTCCTCAACATGACTTGGAACGTAATAGAATCATCGCCAATCGATGACCTTTAAGATTCATAGTTGCAAGAGACGAGGCTGAACCTAATCACACTAGTTGAGGCTGATCTCTTCTCACCTACACTTATCTAAAGTCATTGTAACATAAAAAATATACATATACATCGTCAATAGTGAGGAGATCGTCAGTGTTGAGACGAAGCAGCCAACGTGGCCTCGTCGTCCTCTTCGGCAGCGGTAGCCACTTCCTCGCGGGCCTCGGCCATCGCCTCCTCGTCCAGCTCGTCCCATCCGTCCTCTTCTTCGCGCCAGTCGGGAGTGTGCTTCTTGTAGTTTTCGGCGTACAATTGCTTGATGGCAATCAAGTTGCGGGCGTACTCCATCTGGTTGTAGATGCACTTGATCGCCGTCATCACCCCAAACTCTCTGGAGATGTTGTCGCTCACCTTGCGCACCCGTTCGATCATCTTGACGTCCAGGGTGGCCTTGATGATGGCCTCGGTTAACAGCTTTGACGTCAACTTCTTCAACTCGATACCGACGCCCATCGCCTCCAAACGCATAGCGTAGAAGAACTGGTCGCCAAAGAACGGCTTGATGATGGTGGGGATCCCCGCCTTCATCGTCGCCCCGGTGGTACCCAGCCCCCCGTGGTGGACGGCAGCGTCGATCTTGGGGAAGAGCCAGTCGTGAGGGATCAGCCCCGCGTTGTAGATCTCGGGAGGCAACTGGATTTCAGGCTTCTTTTCCTTCAGCAACCGGTCCAGCCACCCTTTATTCAAGATACAGCGGACGTCGGCTTCAAGCACCGCTTCGATAACGGCCTTGGTCATCTTCAGAGCATCTTTAACCACAATCAGCCCGAACCCAATGTAGACAATCTTCTTGTCGTCGTCACGGGCATTCTTCATGAACTGGATGAGTTCCTTAGGCGGGTCGTAGTCCTTAGCCCCACCTTCGTCGAGGAACCAGTAACCAGTAACCTTCACCCAGTCTGGGAAATCAAGCGCTGGGGGAAGGACGGTAGGCAGCACGTTGTAGAGGAACGGCACCGAGTTCTGCGCCATGCGATACATGTTGGTGCGGGGCAAGTTGAGCTCGTTGACCCGCCAGCGGTTGACGTAGCCACTCATCGCCTTCCAGAACACACCTTCAAACATCACGTGGGTCAAGTAGTTGTAGGAACCGCCCTTATTCAGGTCAGGCACCATAAACGCCTGAGGGTAAGCCCGCGTACGGGTCCACGGCATCGTGAACGCCCGCATGTAGGGCACACCAAGAGCTTCGGCAATGTGAATACCGGCCATAGCCAGCGGCAGCTCAATAAGCAAATCACACCCTTGACAGGCCCGCCACAGCGTAAACAACAACTCCTTAAGCCACTCGCCAAACTTGGCCTTGGCGTCCTTGAGGAAACCAACCGACATCAGTCCGTGCAGCACCATCAAGTCCATCAATTCTGCGGGATTACCGGCAATTTCTCTGAACCCCATGTTGTGTTTACGGATCCAGTCGCCAAACTCATGGTGGGTGGCAATAGTCACTTGGTGACCTTCACGTAAAAGCCCTTTACCTAAGGCAATGTAAGGTTGGACGTCACCACGCAGCCCGATGGTCAAAAACGTTATCTTCATCGGCTTTGCCAGTCTCACTTCGGTCATGAACATTGGCAGATCTTCCAACATGAACGGAATGTCCATCCCCAGGGCGGCAGCGAGCTTATCTTCAAACATCTTGACACGAGCCTTGTCAATTTCAAGCACCTGGTTGAAGTAGTCGTAATCCTCACGGTGCAAGGGGCCATAATCTTGCTTCTTACGCAGTTGCGCCGCTTTATCCAGCGAGTTGTGGGCCCAGTCGTGGTCTTGGGGTTCCCAGTTCTCGTCGGCGTGCACCGCCAGCAATTGGGTCATGATCATTGAGTAGGCGTCATCACGTGCCTGTTCCAGCCCCAATTCAACTTCAAACAGCCGTGCTCCGGCTAACGTGAACTCCAAGCTGTGGTGGAGCTTGAACGTGTCCCTGTAGATGTTGACGTTTTCGATCTTACGCAACGGCAACACCATCTTCGTCAGCACCCCGATCAACATCAGCCGGAAACACAACTCGTCCAGCCCCAAGTACAACTTACCGTACACAGGCACCGTGCCCTTCTTCATGTACACGTAGTACAGCGCAATCAATTCCAGCTCCTTCAGCGCGGCAAAGTGTTCACGGAAGCGGCGTAACAGCTCGTCTCTTTCTTGTTCGTTAGCCACAAAGTACTGGTCGTGTTCGGCCAGAGGGAAGTAGTGACTGGGGTTCAGCGTCAAGAAGTTGTGCATACCCAGCACCACCTTGATCTTCTTAGCGAAGCGGTTCTCCTTGTGGTTGTTGCGTGCCTGATCGTCGTAAGTCAGCGGGTCCAGAAGCCCCATCGCCGGAACCAGCGTCCGGCACTGGCCTTCTTTCATCATCTGATTGCGTTGAAGTTGCATCTGGTACTCAAGCGAAGTACACTGGGGGTCCTTAAGACGAGTCGTGAATGTCATTCCGAGACGACGGAGCAGCTCCAAAGTCAACGGCTTCGGGTATGCTGGCAGCAGCGGCAGCCCTTCCGGCGCCACTTCCTTTTGAGGGTGCAACGGCTCGTCAGAGAACCTCAGCAACAACTTGTGGCTAAACTTGCGGAACTTCAGCAGCAGCTTAGCGTCGTCTTCGTCGTCACTATTATGCGCCAGAGTAACGGCGTCAAACTCGGCCCGGAACTGCAGCGTGTACTCCAACTGGTCGAGAATGTAGTCGTGGCCGTGGTTGTCTGAAAGCGTCAGCATCGTCTGTGAGTAGGCGTGCTCATCCTGAGACACCATCTGCTTTGCCCGTCTGAAGAACCGGTCGCGCTTGGTCTCCTCCATATTATGGACGTGGGACTGTGGTTTCGGCGAGAATGTCCATGTACGCTGTAATAAGTCAATGACGGCAGCAGCGTTACGGAAAAACACAAGCGTGATCAGCTCGATGCGGGTATCGCGCTGGTGGACTTTTTGGTCATCGCGGTGGTGTTTCTTGTGGTGAGTACTGACGTAGTAGATGACGACGTTTCTCGGTTCGTGAGGGTCACGTTCGTCGTCTTCCTTCAGCCCCACGAGAAGGTCGTCACCTTTAATCAGCACGATGTTAGCGAGCGGGATCTTCACGATCACTTCCTCGGCGGCATTAGCGTTGCGTAAGCGGAACACACACTTCTGGATATTGTTGACCCATTCACGAGCCAGGTAAATGTTGTCGCAATGAAACTTGTACGTCTTCTTCTTGGTAGAAAGCTTGATCCATACGCCCTCCGTGGCAGCTTCGGTGTTATCTTCCGTCACCAGCAATGGCACCTCCATGTCTTCGACGTCATCGTCCAGCTCTTCCGAGTCGGTAGCCAGGGCCAGCACCGATCTCAGTTCGGGGTGAGAGGCGGTGCCCAGCCCTGAGCGCGAGTGGAGCCACAGTTTCGGCGAGAAAAGACCGTCGGGGCGTTTAGGCTGGAGTTTTTCGTGCTCCAAAATCTCCACCTTACGAATCAGCTTCAAGTTGATAATGACCCGAGGGAAGTAGAAATCGGTCAGCAGCGAGTAGATTGAGAGGGTTTCCAACCGCAACACCCCCCAGTAGCGGTGGGTGGTCAACAGCGTCACCATGGCCTCACCGTACTTCAGCTGGCGCATACCTAAGGGCCCCATTTGGACGATGTCCACAGCATCATCGTCTTTAACAAAGTCATGGTCCATCACCAAGTTCCGTTTAGGTAAGAACCCAAAGTAAAGAAGACAATGGTCAGTTAAATGGACGTGGCCTTGAAGCATGACGTTATGGATCAACCACGCCGTCAGATTACCGATAAACCGGTCATTATCGTCGAGATCAAATACCTGTTTTACTCGATCGGCCATCAGCACTTGAATCAATTCACAGGTGCGTTGAGCCGGACGATCAGTCTTGATCTTAGTGGCAAACTCCATGGCACTGACGTACAGCAAGTCGAAGTGGTCGATAAACGACCGTTGCAACGGTGTGAGTTCCGCTGGCATCTCGGTACCGGCAAAGTAGTCCGAGTACGCCGGGGGTTCGTTGCCGTCAGTGGTCATGGGCCAGGTTTGAGTTACTGGCGTCAGTTCCGGTTTGTCAGTAGGATAATCCATTTCCAGTTGAGTGGGCAGGTGCTGGTGGCCGTGGGGAGCTTCACCGGGCTTAGTAGGCTCACCTGACGTCGGGTCATACTCGGGCCAAGTATAGTGAGCCGTAGCCATCAGAGCATTATCGCTACTAGCATCATCAGCAAAACCACCGTCTCTCGGATAAGTGTGTAACGGTTGATTTGGGTCGACGGGGTGGTACAGCATTTTAAGCGGGTGGTTATGGTGACGGTTCCCCAGCAGCAGCAGCCCCGGCAGACCGGGCTCGCCAAGTAAGTGTTTGCCACCGAAATTACACGCCAGCGTCAAAAAGTTCATCAAAAAGTTCCCCTGGGACTCCAGCAGGGCAAAATCGTCCTCGTCCAGATCGGTGTCCAGATCGATCAGATAGCCTCTAAGCTGGCCGGAAAGGCCGTGGGCACCGGTAGCATCACTAACGACTTGCAGCCACCGCTGGAACATCGGTTTCGACGCCAGCAGCTTCTGTTCTGGTTGTCTGGGAGGCGTAGACACCCCGGTGACCAGGGCCAGGTCCAGCAGCTGGTGCGGGGTCACCGTGGCCAGCGTCGCTTCCAGCGGGGCCCGGGGAGCTGCTTCCAGCGCCTGCTGGCGGTCGTCCTCGCAGTGGGCGAACTTGTGCAACATCTTCTGGAGGTGGCGAGGGTGGAGAGGCCGGTGCACTGAATCTTCAGATGGGGTCAGCACCTCAGCCATTTTGGAAATTAAGAGCAGGTGATGGCGGGGGGCGAGCGGGGGAGGGTGAGGAAATTAGAGGTGGTGATGAAGATATCGGAGGGTTTATTACGTCGACACAATGCACCGGCAGCACGCTTGCTGGGCCCGCTGTCGGGGCGTCTCGGCCCTGTCTGTACCGCAAACCCTCCAGCCGTACCCCGTAATTATTAGTGAGGGACGCCGTGGGGGGCATGTGAATTCGCCGCACCGAACGCCGGGGCGGGACGCGTAGGCGACGCAATTGGGAGGTAGAGGAGAGGGAAGAGGCCATTGAAACCATGGTTTACTTAATAAGTTTAACACTTAATTTTCAGCCAATTGGTCGAGGTCGATGCCGTGGGGGCGCCTGATGCCTGGGCCTCAGCTCGACGCTTGCTTCCGCTACATCAGGCATGACCCGACGCAGCAACCGTTGGCAACCCCGATTGGGACACGGACGTTTTCCCGAGCCAAGAATTTGCGGGGACGCCGGTGTCAAAACGGCTTTGACTCGCTAGCGTTTAGTATATGATTTGCATAATAGTTTTCCTGCCCCCAATTGACAGGGCTAATTCCCATAGAATTTCTCCTTCTACCTCCGTTCGAGGCAATTGGTGCCGCGCCCGCGGCTCGGAGCCACTGGTCCCGACGTCCGTGAAAGCCGATAAAAAAGCCTCGCCCTCGTCGGAAGAATTACCGGATCTAGAAGGCCTCTGGCCGTTCCGATATCGTTCGTGGACTACACCACCCTCGAGTCTTTTCGTCTTTCGTACGATAATTACGTTAGCCCACCACCTAGCCGTGCTCCCTAGCCGTACGTGG